GCGACTCCATCGAGAACCTCGTCGTGGATCTCATTGATGGTGTTGTACAAAGATGGTACAACAATCAAGCAGGCAACAATGGCCAAAGTGGAGCAGGCTGATGCCACACCAACGACGAGTTTCTCTTCGAACATTGTGTCGAATAGGTGCTACTGTCACCTGCTTGCTTTTATAGTCAACTCTTTATCATTGTGACCTAGATTGAGTTTTAGTTTTTTAGTTTTTTAAAAAGTTTTACAGCCGATATACATTTCAATGAATGGTAAATTTCGATCTTTCTTTGAAGTCACCAATGACGTTAATCAAAGTTCCAATAGAAAGTGAACTCTAAAAGCTACTTAGCTTTTGGAAAGCCTACTAATTTTCATAACCATAAAATAGTTATGATTGTTTCCTTTTTTTGAATTACACACAAGCTATTGATATAATGCTCAAAGTTTGCGCGTAGTGTGAAATAATTCTTATGTATTCTTTTTACGATGTTAGCAAAAGCAAAAATCAGATGACAATCACAAGCATATTCATCTGTTTGTACTTTTTTCTTGTAAATTTGACAAATCGTTGTTTCTCGCTTACTGAAAATTTGTTTATTATAGGCAGTACATTTAAATTACGCATATTTTCAAGGTTCATCTCCATTACACACCATCCATCCAATTAGAAAGGTCGATGTGGAGTAGCTACCAAAAATGTTGATGATTTAGGGTTCAGGGCGCGATTGAGTTGATAATTTCGGAATCCTCCTAAAATAGATATATCGCATTTCTCTAGCTGATCTTGCATATGGAGACTTGCTTAAATGTCGCGAAATCCACGGTTCTATTAGAAAAGTAGTTTAGTAATATAATACTAACTTTGTATAATAAAATGGCTTCGCTTCTAGAAGAGATTTGCGAGCTAGAAACAATTTTCAATGAGGGGTATTGACTCTCCTACTACTAAGCCTCTCAGGAAAGGTGACGATCCAAGTATGGTACGCGTGCATGGGTATATCAATATGTTTTAATATCGGGAATTTTCGAAAAATGGCCTAATTGAATTTGCAATGATGCTACAGTATAGAAGATAAGATGATTTCCTCAAACAAATTTTTATTCCCATAACGCTTCTCCAGTATTTTCCAAAAAAAAAAACACCTCTTTGATACACGACAAAATTACAAATCATTGGCTGATGATTTGCTGCTGCTAATGCTAGACTCAGGCCTTGGCACAAAGTCTATTGAACTTCACGGAACGAATAGTTTTTTTTTTAAAAATTCAACAAATTCTGAAGCATCCCTTCCCACCCCCTCGCTTGTATCCGTAAAACGCGCACAAACAGGACAACTACTGCAGCGATGTTAGCTTGGAGTGCGTTCTTCCCTAAAGTAAAATGCTTTAGGGTCCTAGCGAAGAGGGGAGATGCCTTTCTGGTTATTAAGCTATAACTTGGGTTAAGCGGGGCATAAAAGTTTTTGACATAAACAAATCAAAATAATGAGAAACGAAAAGTTGTTTGGTAAGCGGAGATTTGAGTTTCGCACTTTCCGCTGGAGATTTAAATCACATAAATGTACGGAAAATTTTTGTTACCTAAGCTTTCAAAAATTTTGCATAAAGTTCTTAAACTCCTTGTTGCGCATCTTATTCCCAAATGGATTCTTTCATCGATTGTTCGTTATAAAAAACCGGTTTAAGTACTATAGAATTATTAACAATATTTATTTGAATTTTTTATGCACATGCGCTCTCCAACTGGGTAGACTAATACGCATGTTAATTACTAAGGCAGTTGTCGGAGACGGCTTTGAAATGAGTTTAGGGAGGGCGAACGGAAGGGAACTACGATTCCTTTGATTTCCGGACCTCGTACGCTTTCACCTGCGCCTTTCTCCCAAAAACCGCTCCAGCTTAACCTCCAGAGATCTGTCGACGAGTCTAGCTTTTTTATTGGAAGCTCGAAACCTTAGGTCCATTATGTGTAAGAATTTTGCAAATTAAAAAAGAAATAGATAATCTATTAAAGATTTATACATGAAAAGTCACAAAATTCGCTTTCATTTATTAGGATTCTTCTTGATGCCTAAGTTGCAAATAGTCTCCATTTTCCTCCGAAGTTAGCGGATTATTGAACCTGAGCTCATCTGCGTCCGTCTCCGCTATCGTGTTTTCCATTAGCCGGATTACCAAGACAGCAGTGGCAAAATGACCTAATTTTCATGAGTCACAGTTTTGTGATAG